AATGTGCATTACGTGAAATTGAAATGTGCAGAATGAAAAATAAAACTCAAATGTGCATTACATGAAATTGAAATGTGTAGAATAAAAGGCACAAAAATGCCACTACATCCTAGTTTTTATTCTGCACGTTTCAATTTCACGTAGTGAACATTTTAGTTTTTCATAATGCACAATTCAGCTTCACATAATACCACTATGCCTTACATTTTGTGTTGCACATTTCGATTTCACCTAATGCACATTTCAGTTTCACTTAATGCACAATCAATTTCACAGAATATAATTTAACGGTCCAGATTCATTTTCATTTCTCTCCTAAGATCATTTTCTCACTTGAACCTAATTATATATATATATATATATATATATATATATATATAAATTAGAGTAACAAATGTGTAATTTTAAAGAGAAAATGTGTAATTTTGAACACCCAAAATGTAAATATTAGGTCCCTGCAACATTAATAATAATGAGGATATTTACACACTAATAATGATGGGATCATTGAAATATGTGCTATCAATGAACTTTCTAAGTAAGATAAGTTCATCGGCTAGATTCTTGGTAGATTTGGCAAATAAATAGATGAATAAGAGATTATGGTACAATGGTACATATTGCCGTTTCCAAAACATATTGCCTTATAACTTCTTTTTTAATCATTTTGTGACTATAGTTTCGAAATTGAGGATTTAAAGTACCTTGAGCATATTCTTTTAAAGAAAAACTTTCAGAAAAAATAAAAGACAAATTTTTTTCAACAATTAAGTGAGATATACCAGTCAAATGTCTTTGATCATCATATGAGATATTACCAAAGGGTTGACCAGCTCCAAACCTCGTTATTTGGGTTTGTTTCCCCTTTTGTCAAGTTTCGCATACGCCACAGGGTGTTTGGACTGAAGATGCCTTTTCAAACTGCCGTATCCTCCAAAAATTCCCAAGCAACAGACTTTACGGCAATGTTTGCAATGTGCGTACCATTTTTCGTTTTCCAAGTCTTTCACCTTTGTATAATTGCCGTCAATAACTGGTGATATACCTTTCTTAGTGGGTTGGGATGAACCAGTCTCGTCCTCGGCCTAATAGGAAAATGAGAAATGTACCAATTAACTAATAGGAAAATGAGAAATGTACCAATGAACTAATATTAATAAAAAATGTAGGTTAAACCCTCAATCTCTTCTTCATCGTCTGGGGTGCCGTGACCGTCGCCCTCGGCTGTCAGGGGATCCTCCTCTGCATCGTCATCCTCGAGCTCATCTTCAACCTCGGAAATGTCATGTTGTTGGTAAAACCGCCCATCTTGTTGGGACAATAGTTGTTGTAGTTGCTCGTCAGACATTGCATCCGCATCTCTCCGGTGGTAGTCCGTTTCAAAATCATCTCGTGTTTGAGAAGAAGACCTGACACGTCATTTACCTTTACCTTTGTGTGAACTAGGATGATTCCTCGCAATCTCCTTGCATCTTAAAAATGTAACAAATATGTTAATATTAGTACAATAGTAATGCAACTAATAAGAAATGTTCTAAATTTTATTTTTTATGTAAACCTATTTTATGAAATATTATTTTTTAAAACTAACTAGTTTTTTTTTAAAATAAAATTCGAAGTAAAAAAAATCAAGCTAGTTACTAATTGTTGTCTAACAAGTGTGACTTTAATTAATTGGAAAATGAGAAATGTAACAACTGTGTAAACTAAAATAATGGAAGTGTGAGTGTATAAGTAATAGGATGCATTTAATTACTATTAATTGAAGTGTAACTAATATATACTACCTCCGTCCCACTAACATTGGGACGGAAGAAGGTGACACAGTTATTAAGAAAAATGAGTTTATGTGATTGATATTGAATTGATAAAGTAAGAATAAAGTAAAAATGATTAAGAGCCACACAAACTTTACTAAATATGGTATGAGACAATCTTAGTGAGATTTTCCGAAAATGTAAAATGAGATAATCTTAGCGCGACGGAGGGAATAATATATGTATACTACTATAAGATGAGTAGCACATTTATATTTAATACTTTAATATATATATATATATATATATATATATATATATATATATATATATATATATATAGACACACACACACACACACACACTTAATATATGTATTTATAAGTAGATAATAAGTATATAAGTACATATAATAATTGTTAAACTAATATATAATATAATGTTTATAATATATAATATATAAGTATATTACTATAAGATGAGTAGCACACTTATATTTAATACTTTAATATATATAAGTATATATTAAGTAGATGTAATATGTAAATGTAAGTAAATAACAATAATATAATAAGTAGATAAGAGAGTTTTTTTTCGAATTAATGTTAATTAATTAATTAATAACGAAAATAATGCTGGTAAAAAAATATTTACCGATCTACTGCTGGGTTTAACCATGGTTAGGGAAAGTCACCCAACGGTTGGGCGACTTATAAGTGTGCACATTCGATGCAAGATGGCGGATACATAGCCTATGATGCGCATAAGGCTCCTCGCAAGTACTGCCCACCTCATTCATTGCCCTGACAATACCTCCATGTCGATCAGAAATGACACACAACTCCGGAGTAGTGACAAACGACCTAATACATGCCATAAACCATGGTCAACTATCCCCATTCTCATATTCAACAACTGCAAAGGCCACTGGAAATATTTGGTTGTTCGCATCACAACCCATGGCCACGAACAGTGTACCCTTGTACTTTCCATACAAATGTGTGTCATTAATAGTAAGTACGGGTCGACAATGCTTAAAACCATGTATTGATGGCTTGAATGCCCAAAAAACTCTTTGAAACTGCATATAACCTGTGGGAGTATCAGAGGGTGGGTACCACTGCACAATAGTTCCAGGATTTGAATGTTGGAGCGCTGTAATGAAACGGGGCAATTCAGAATATGACTTCTCCCAACCGCCAAATATTTCTGCTATGGCCTTTTGCTTCCCCATCCATGTTCTCCGGTATGATACCGTATACCCATACTTTTCCTTCAGCATCTCAATGATAGTATGCACTTTAAGAGAAGGATCAGTGCGAACAATGTCAATCACATCTTTATAGATGAAATCTGAAGTCAAAGCCACGTGATCGGTAGTGTTGGTGTTCCCAACACACGTAGCAGAATGAGGTCCAGGATAACGCACAATTATGAAGGTGTCAAGGTTGCCTTTGTTCTTTGTGGCGCGTATTTTCCAGGGGCAATTACATTCTTTCTTCCTTTTGCATTGTGCCACCCATTTCTGTTTATCGGATTCTATCACCCATTACAGGAGCATTTGAGGAGTTCCTAGCATTCACACCTGCATTGACATAATGCCTAGATACAACAGCATTTGATGTTGATGGAGTACGATAAGTGTCACATATGGATTCCTCAATGTATATCTCAAGCATTGACATGTCCTCCATCTGAACTATGGCCCACATATTTGTAATAGCTAGCTCATCAGTGAGGGGCATAAGCATGTACTTCCCCCGTTCATGGGAAATTTCATTTTCAAACGCAAAGAACGGCTAGGATGAATCATTGTGGCTGTATGTATTTTTTGAAGGATCTCGAGCATGCAAGCACCACGACAAACCATGACAAATGTGGTTGTACCACCTTCATGACATATATGACCAACATCCTCATAATAGTTCCCTCCCCAATGATACACAATTGGGAAGCTTGAGAAATCCATATTCTAATAACAATTTAAATATATCCAAAAGTCAAGATTCACAAACAACTCACATTTCAATATGAAAATACCCAAATTTTGATATCTACATTCAAGTCTACATTTCAATACCCAAATTTAGCTACATTCAAATCCACCCAAATGCCCAAATGTCAAAATATATACATGTCAAAATCAATTTCAAATCAAATTTGAACATTTCATAATCTAAAAATTCCAAAAATTTAATATTCAAAACCCTAAGTTAAAAATGAGATGAAATGGAGTTTGATTTACCTACAAGAAAGAAGAAAGAGGGTTGAAGATGGAGGTTTGCCGGAGTGGGGTCGCTGGATATGGAAGTTCGCCGGAGTTGGAAATGGCTCGGTCGTCCTTCGTCCTTCGTCCTTCGTAGCTGCTTCTTGGGGGATTTGGGGGTTGGGTTTCGTTCGCAGTGTTCTTTTTTGTGGTTGGGCGCTGTTTTTACTTAATGGAAAGTCGCTCAACGGTTGGGCGACTTATAAGTCGCCAAACCGTTTGGCGACTTATAAGTCGCCCAACCGTTGGACGACTTTCCCCGACCACGGTTAACCCAGCAGTATATTGGTAAATACTTTTAATCCAACCCTATTTTCGTAATTAATTAATTAATTAACATTAATTCGAAAAAAATCTCTAGATAAGAAGTAGATATTAAATAAATATGAAGTATATATAAAGTAGATAATAAGTACTACCTCCATCCCAAATTGATTTGCAAATTTGACTTTTCTTGGTCAAACTGGTTTCATTTTATTGGCTTAATTAAGATTTCAATTTGTAATTATATTCTAATTTGGGTTTTGTAACTTTGAAGAGATTTTAATGTAGTTTCTGAATATGTAAAATTTAATTATTAAAAATTAAATTAATCATAGATACGAAGCATTGACTTTTATTATCTAAAAATGTTGACTTTGCAAAACAATTTGGGACGGAGGGAGTATATATTAAGTAGATAATATTGTTTTAGTAATATAATATAAGTAGATAATTAATACTACACATATAAGTAGATATAATAATTGTATAAATATATGTAGATAGAATTGAAGATGATGAAGAATAAGAGGCCGTTTGGCAACATTTTTTTCCGGCTTATCAGTCTTATCAGCCAACTTTTTCACCAAACACGTAATTTTTACTTTCGCGCGTTGAATTGTGTAATAAGCAGAAAAAGTAAGGTTAGAGTTACTTTTCTAGCTGTATTGGCTGAAGTTACTGTAGATGACCATTTTAGCTATTTTTTCATATAATTTGTTTTTTATTTTATTAATAAAATATATTTTAAAAATAATTTTTACTTAAATCAGCAGAAACAGTCAAAACAGCCACTTCAGCCAGAACTTCATAAATTTCAACAGAATCAGCCAAAACAGCCGATTTTCGTGCTACTAAACGGGCTCTAAATAGTAGGAAGAGTCGGAGAAGATTGAATTTATAAACCCAAGATGACAACAATATTAACCTGGCGGGGGGGCGACAATCATAGCTAATACAAGGAATAAGTACACATCCCATTTATGACCAATAAAGTCAAAATTCCTAGTGCCCACATAAACCAAACTGTGATCTTATGTGCCGTATTATATTCACTATACACAAATGCAAAGAGCCTTAAATGTACTCCAAATTAAATCCGAGGTGCCCATAAAAATTCATTAATGACCACATAACTTCTCAAACGGAGGACAATCCATCATCCCTACTACCTCTGGTACTGTGGCGGTGGTGGCGCTTGCCACGGTGGCGACGGACGCCACCAAACCTCACTGGGTCAAAGCGTCTGAGCTGCTCGGCCTCTTTAGGGTCAAGGGAGCATTCTGGCGGGGGTACATTATACCGAGCGCGATCATAGCAGTACGAATACTGCACGTTCTTCCTCCGGAAGTTCACCATTTGAGCCCTTTTCTCAGGTGTGATACTGGTTGGCATTTCGGATACACTTTCGCATTTATCCGACGAAAGCTCTATAGGATCAACTGCACAGCCATGAAGAACAAAGTTGGAGAGCTCTGCAGTGTAAGGAGCATATTTGTAATTTACTTTAAACTTTCCACCAGAAGTAGCCCAGCTAGATCCATCCCATATTGTGGCATATATTGACATTGGCTTGGAAGGAAAGTCCCCACCCATTGCTTCTGTCCTTGTGATCTCTCTTATAGGTACACCATCTACATAAAACCTATAAGATCAAAATACAAAAGGACAATCACTACCAAGTGGTAAAAATTCATGTGAGTATACAGAAAAGGTGCCTAAAATCACACTATTATAACAAACATCACTTTCTTTATTGGAGCGCTACAATTACCTTCTTTACTCAAAGCCATTTTACCCAATATAAAAATATAAAGATGATAAAACAAAACAGGAGTAAAACAAATCCTTTCCTCATACGTTCAGAAACTAACAACTCCCTAGGATGGTTAGATTGCACACAGCGAAGCAAAGTTACTTGTTATAGTGCAAAAACATCATGCAGTGGCTGAAAAGAGAAACACCCTCCCCAGCTATTGTGGACTAATGTAGCATTCAAATAAGGAAATCATGTTTCTATTCTCTGACTTGGAAACCCCACTAAAAAGTATCCAGTAGTTCACAAAAAGAATAATGAAAAACAGCTGGATGTGAACTAGCTTAGCCCACAGTATCTGGTAAGTACAAAACACCAAGATGATAATTTTTACAAAGATGTTTCGTGTACACGTACTTGCCCAAATTGTCTGTCACAGATAAATTTTGTCAATTTTTAAGTCAAAATGTCTGTCACAGCAACAATTTTTTTGTGACACAACAATTTTTTCTTCAAATTTTATCGATATCACAGACAATTTGATTTGACTCAAAAGTCGAGCCAAGTTGTCTATGACAAACAATTTGGGCATGTACATGCGTGTGCAAACCAATTTTTTTTTTATTTTAATTTAAGAAGGAAGGAATGAAGGAAGTGAGCTTATTATATAATCTTACACAATCTGTTTTTGAGTCCAAAGGAGAGTGTATTGATGAAAATCCTCAGAGGGGTCAAACCACAAGCCATATCTCTCTTCTCTCCCTCTGCTGGTGCTCCCATTCCCATAGATATTAGTTTGGACCCTCCAGTCTTTGCCTCTAATGTTTCCCAAGAACTCAAAGTCAATCTCATCATGGTTCTTTTCAAACATATCAGCATTTGACATCTGTCCATGATTATTATTTTTCATTAAATAATACTAAATGAAACAGAAAAAAGAAAAGATTAAAATTATATATATATATATATATATATATATATATATATATATATATATATATATATCCACTTGTAGAAGAATCCATTCTCTCAAACTTTTGAAGTTCCACCCTTCCAGGGCATATCTTTGTTTGAAAATATTTTATCAATTACAATAAAGTATTGGCGGAAACATATCAAACTGAACATAAGAGCAAAACATCTATCTAGATTCTCTTGCCAGCAGATGCCACGAATAATATTTAAAAAAAGGGAAATAAACTAGACTTCAAGTATTCAATGTGATGAGAGAATAATAACTAAAAATCCTTTTATTACTTTTAACATACTACGTAATAATTTCTATAATTAAGTAAAAAACTAATTTTCAAGAAAAAACAAGGCAATTAAGGCCTGAAACCAATGACCATGAAGAATCAAGAATCTAAAATCGGAGGGTCCAAACTCACAGCAGAACAAAATATGGTTTAGATTCTACTCCGTAGCACAAAAGAATTAATAACCCATCTCCAAAAATCAAGAAAGAACTTACATAAAACGCCACCACGACCCCAGCTGTGTAATCAGAAGGTAGTTTAATGGAGGCGCTGAAGAACCCGTGACTATAAAGGTCATGAGAAAGAAATCCCGACCCTGCAGTTGAGAAAGAACAAAAAAGACAGGGTTTATAAATTTCAGACACAAGAAAATAAAAAAGATGGGGTTTTTATATAAACCAGATTGAAATATGATAAGAAAGTAACCTGTTCTTTCATCAAGAGAAAGATGAACGGACATCCCATCTTCAAGCACCCTCAGGTTGCCGTCACCAAAGAGATGAGAGTAGCCTTCTTCAAAGGATACGATTGGCAGATTTCCTAAAGACCCAGAGACCATTAAAGAAACAGAGCAGAGCACAAAGAAAAGTCTGAGATGAAAAGTCGCCATTTTCGGTTTCCTCCCCTCCCCTGGCCGGCCAAGAATGTTTGTATTGTTGAGGGAGTGGCAGCTTCTTATACGCGCTTAGTGTTTAGGTGTCGTATGATATACGCAACAGTGAAAGAGAGATGGTGGTGGTTATTGTGGGAGGGAAGCCAAACGGCTTTTTAATTTATTGGGTGGTGAACTTAGAGGGGGAGCAGATGAGCTGTTTTCTCTATATTTCCAAAGGTTTTTTTCTCCTTTTTATTTTTTAATGCCATATTCTTTTTTGTTTTACACGGACTACTTTCAGGATTGAAAGTTGGAGTTTTTTTCCGTATTAATGTTAATTAATTAATTATTTATGAAAATAGGGTTTGGTTAAAAGTATTTACCAATATATTATATTGCTGGATTAATCATGATCGGGGTAAGTCGCCTAACGGTTGGGCGACTTATAAGTCGCCACACGGTTTGGCGACTTATAAGTCGCCACACGGTTTGGCGACTTATAAGTCGCCCAACTGTTGGGTGACTTTCCGTTAAGTAAAAACATCGGTCAGCCCGCACAAACAGTAAAACGTAACCCCAGCCCCAATTCCCCCCAGCCGCAGCGATGAAGGACGAAGGACGAACGATGACCGAGCCATTTCCAACTCCGGCGAACCTCCATCTCCGGCGACCCCACTCCGGCAAACCCCATCTTCATCTTCAACACTCTTTCTTCTTTCTTGTAGGTAAATCAAACTCCATTTCATCTCATTTTGAACTTAGGGTTTTGAATGTTAAAATTTTCGAATTTTTAGATTAGGAATTGATTGTGAATTGAGTTGTTGTGAAATGTGGATATGTATGAAATGTTGAAATTTGATTTTAAATTGATTGTAAATTTGGGTATTGAAATGTAGACTTGAATGTAGATATCAAAATTTGGGTATTTTCATATTGAAATGTGAGTTGTTTGTGAATTTTGACTTTTGGATATATTAGAATTTTGGTAGTTTTTTCTATTGAAAATTTGAATGTGTATAAATTGTGTATATTGATGTCTACTCATGATAGTTGGACAATGAATTGTTGTTAGAATATGGATTTCTCAAGCTTCCCAATCGTGTGTCATTGGGAAGGGAACTATTATGAGGATGCTGGGCTAAAATAGTAAAAATTAACTAATACGATTTTGTTTGTTTGTAGGCATGGAGGTTACAGCGGATCCTGGGCCGAGTGATCGTTCTGTCCTAACATTGCAAGCCTCGCACAGGAGTGAGAATGTTTGGCTTGGCCTCGATGTTCAGGTGGATAGGTGTCGCGAGCACCTGCGGGGTTTGTCGCATATGCACGTGGATGAGAGAGTACTTGCATATGTTCGTGCTGCGGGTTTTTATGGTCTGCACAGATTGGTGGATACTGTCTCTCTCGATAGAGCGCTACTCACTGCTCTTCTTGAGCGTTGGAGGCAGGAGACACACACATTTCACCTCCCTGCTGGTGAGGTGACAGTGACCTTGGGAGATGTTGTTGTACTTACTGGGCTACAGGTTAATGTGAGAGCTGTTACAGGCACTGCTTGTCGACAGTGGGTAGATGAGTGTGAGTGGTTGTTAGGTGTTCGCCCCCTTCTTCGGAATGACCTTCAGGGGTCATCCCTCAGGATGTCATGGTTGAGGGAGCACTTCCAGGTGCTTCATCCGGACGCTGACAAGAGCGGAAATGAGATTCAGGTGCTGCACTTGCCTATGCTAGAGAGGTTTGATGTAACAGCACAATTCAGTTGGGGTAGTGCCACGCTGGCTTATCTCTATAGACAGCTGTGTCGCGGCTGCATATAGGGAGCACAGAGCTTGGAGGATTTTTGCTACTCCTGCAGATTTGGTCATGGGAGTATATCCACATTGGGCGTCCCCTTGTAGTCGCATATCATGACATTGATGGACACCCACTCGCTGATGAGCCTCCACGTCTTCTGGGACCACATCATGTACGGGGCGAGGACCCTCTAGACGGTCGGTATGTTTTCAATCGTTAGTATTTATGTTATTGTATGTTGAATGTAAGTATATTAATAATATCCATATTAATGAAACAGTTACATGAATCGTTAGATGGCTATTTGCTGGTCTAAGTCGCATGTCATCCGCTACTGGGCTCGGTGTCTACAGGGATGCATTTGATCTGATGTCTGAGGATTAGGTATCGTGTGGGTAATATAACATATGCTATAATATGTATATCATAAATACTAATTTTGTATCTTTATAAAAAAGATTACATGGATGTCGTATACAATTGAGATGTTTGCAGAGTTGCCCCAGCTGGACGAGAGCATAGTCACATATGGCGAGCACGTGTGCCGTTGATATGTTTTGACATTATTGAGCTTCATTTGCCTGATCGAGTCTTGTGACAGCTTGGGTTTGAGCAGGTCATTCCACGACCTATCGACACTTATGTAGAGCTTCATAGGCTGGATAAGCGTGGGAAGCATACAGAGGATTGAGCACTCAGACATGTCCAATACGTCACTCTGTGGGATAGGTGAGCTGAGCTAGTTATGACTGGGACACCGACATTTGTCACATCTGTTTCAGGAGACTACATGGGATGGTATTATAGCATCACTCGTTTGTTTGTGTCTCCTTCGTTCAGACTCCCTACTCATCATTATCAGCATAGCTCCTTGGCTTTGCATCTTACGGTGAGTATATTACTAATTAGTAAAGTACGTCATTTTACTTATTTAATACTTGTATGTATTTCAATGTAATTGTAATTGTGTTTCATATTTCAGACACGAGCTTTGCAGCGTATACATCAGCGGGCTACTGCCACAGTGAGTGATACTCATGATGTGGACATGTATGGACAGACTCTGATAGGCATTGCCTCCTTGTATTCAGATGTGTTGGGACGAGTCGACTACGGCCATCTTATACACATGCCCCCATCTCAGGAGATGCCATCGACGTCTAGTGCAGCGGTAGCTTCATCATCCCAGACGCAACATGAGAGAGTGGTTCTTCAACCACGACCTGTCGTAGGCGTAGACATCAGCAGCAACATCTCCATGACCACGATGATCAAGGTGACCATGAGAACTTGTAGTTTGTCTTTTGTAATGCAGTTTTTCTTGTACAGTAGATGTTGTAGAAACAATTTACAACATTTTACGTATTTTCTCTTCTAAACTCTTGTGTGTTGTCTTGATGTGTTCGAGTATGAATACTAGATGATTACTTGTTATGAATATTGGATGATTGTACTGTGTTTTACCGATTATGAATCTAAGGTTTTGTATTCGATTTGTAAAGGGTCTTTACAAGGTGTTTTGTATGTTGTTGAAAGTAATGTTATGTATGTGTTTGTGAACAGGTGTGTTGTATGTTTTATAATGTGTTGTACCTGGCTCGTAACACTTAAACAGGAGAAGGGAGACCTTATTTATAGCAAACAGATGGGTTTGGGTTGAACTGGGGCAAAAAATGCTGAAATTCTGTTTTCGGAATTAGGCACGATCGTGCTCCTTGTAGGCACGATCGTGCGTGGCTGGCAGTAGCTATTGGTCTGCGTTCATATGGAAGGGAAAGTCGCCCAACGGTTGGGCGACTTATAAGTCACCAAACGATGTGGCGACTTATAAGTTGCCCAACCGTTGGATGACTTTCCCTAGCCATGGTTACACCCAGCAGTAGATCGGTAAATACTTTTTTCCAACATTATTTTCGTAATTAATTAATTAATTAGTTAACATTAATTCGAAAAAAAAAAACAGTTACTGTATGGAAATATTTTTTATTCACATATATAATTTGACTGTGTTCGTCACTTTTTTCAGAATAACTTCAATTTTTCAAAAAAGTTCGAGCACACTTAACTCGTATATATGAACGTATAAAAGTAGCTTGTGGGTGTAGGTCAACCGGTAGATGGTGGGTGACAAGGGGTATGTTTGGAGTTCGAATCCCAACAATTGGTATATTGGGTGATAAGATTTTTTGAATATATTTCACGGATGGAATGTCATCCTTGTTTATGAACGTGTAAGAGTTGAGCTTTGTACTCCCTCCGTCCCATAAAATTCTTCTCACTTTCCTTTTTGGATCGTCCCAAAAAATTCTTTCAACTTACCATTTTTAGACAATTTGTATGGTTCACATTCATTTCACCTTTTTCTTACACAACCACAACCATACATTTCCACTTTATTCCACTTTCTTAATCTCCGTGCCAAGTCAAAGTGGGAAGAATTTTATGGGACGGAGGTAGTAATAGGTTTAGCGGATGAGAATCATGATGATAGGCTTAGCCCTCACAACAATATAATTTGATGGAGTTATGGGACTAGGCTCAGAGCCTAATCGGCCCAAGCCCCTAACTTGGATCCATGGATCCAAATCCACAACCTGGAGCCTACCTACCAGCCCAGCGGGGAGCCTGCCAGTCCGGTCGACCCCTCAGCCCGTAAGAGTAACGGTCAAGCAATTAATGCGCTATTTATTTATGTATTTAATTCCGTATTAATGTTGTAATTATTTAGTCATTATTGCCGGTAGCGGTTTCGATTTCTATAAGCCTATAAAAGGCGGGTTGTAATTCAGATTAGGGAAGCGATTTCTACAAGCTATTTCTAGCAACTAAACACTTTTAGCTTCTTTCCTTATTTGCATTATTTTTCTGATTTCCTGCTTAAGTGTCGTATGTAGCTTTCCTAAAAGCCTACGAGCGTCCTATTTTGGACCAACATTGGTGCTTTCATTGAGAGCCTATGTTGTCTCTCACATAACTTGAGTAGGAAAAAATCAAGAAATCAGACAAAATTAGTATGAAAATCCATAAAAAGAAGAAATCCAAAAATGTGGAATTTTATAGGGTGGAGGCTTTTTGGGCCAGATCCGATTGGTCAACCGGAGCGATGAAACATGCAAGTCATTGCTCGAAGCTTCTGGTTGGAACAGTGTCCCTCGATTCTACACCTATTCGTCGATGCGGACTGAAGGGTCTACCGATTGGAACTCTGTCAATTCCGCCATTAATGTCGCCCTGATGCTTTTGGAGAAACAACCAATGACACCACCACGAGGACTCCTGTCAAACCCGAGGCTAAGACACATCAACCCAACGGCCAACAGAGAAGTACGAGCTTTGGTGCCGGATCCCCCCATCTCCCATACGGAGGCGCCCAATGCACTCCCGCTCGCTCCACCACTACGTCAGTCGTCGCCACAACTCCACGACCAGGA